CCTGACGAAGCTACTGTCTTAGCTAAACATGTCGTGTGTTTGAGAATTTTGTGGAAATCTTATCGTTTGTGAAGTTTTTACATTCGCCATGGATTTCCATCAGGTAACAACCGAGTCAATTAAAGAAAAACAAAAAAAGGTGTAAACTTTTTTTTCGAACTTTTGGAGAATTCGTAATTTTTGTAGAAGTTGTTTGATGAATCTGAGGATTGACAATGAAAGGGATGTGCTGACTGAGTTGTACAGGGTGCGCCTCTTGAAATTCAACTCCTTCTCAACTCTTTTTTTTTGAGAGAGATATGAAAAAATATTGAATGAAACAGTTGTTTGAAACGACCCAATTTTTTTCTGTGTAGTTGTTTTATATACAGATACAGAAGCTCCAGAATTCATGCTTGAGATTGATGTATGGAATAAGAAGAGGCCAGAGAATCTCTCATAAGATGAAAGATGCTGGTTGGCTGACTATAGAAAACAGGAGACTTCATCAGACCGCTAACCTCTTTCATAGAATTATCATCAGTAAAAAACCTTCCTATCTCCATAAAAAAATTGTTTTCCGTACGGACGTTCACAATGTGAATATTAGGTTTAGAGGGGTACTGTCTCCTCCCCCATTCAAAACAGAACTTTTCCGAAGATGCTTCAGTTATCAAATATGCCATATTTACAATATTATTAATAATAATAATAATAATAATATTTATTTCCCAATAAAATATTAACGCACAATTAGGTATTCATACATAAGTAAAACCTAGGAAATAGATAAAGAAATCCACTGAAGTCTAACAAGACTAGTACGTGGTAGTAACTTTATATATATATACAGGGTGTTTCACAGGTAAAGGGAAATACTTCAATGGAAGATAGGGGTCACCAAGGTGGTTCTGAAAATACCATATTTGATAGGTCTCAGAGTCTTCATAACGGAAATACAGGGCGATTTATCAATTTCGAATAATTATTCATTCGTCTATATGTATTGACCCACCCAGTATATTTTTCTTATATTTGGTAATGAGCTTATACTTGGGACCTTAAATTCATTCACCTATCGGGCAGAGTGAAAATCCAAGTTCGGCTTCAGAAAAAATGTTCATTTATTCGAAATATTAAAATAACACACTGTATTTAATAATTAACACAGTACATCGAAGGAAATGTGAAGAGGAGGAAAAACTGAATTGGGTTGGGTGCTTTTTATTTTCCCGCCACCAATTCTCATCGTAACAATCATAAACAGAAAGTTGAAAGTATGTCAATTTGAAGAGTATTGAAATTATGAAACCAGTGTCAATTATGATTATTCGATATATTTTAGTCAAAAAATCGCTCGAAAAAACTTACTAAGTCTCACAGTCTTCATAATGGAGATACAGGGTGAATTATCGGTTTTGAATAATTATTCACTCGTACTTGGGACGATGGATTCATCAACCTATCAGGCGGAATGGAAATAATACCAAATAATTATAATTCGATAATTCACCCTGTATCTCTGTTATAAAGACTATGAGACTTTTCCTGAAGCTGAACCGGTATTTCCATTCTGCCTGATCGGTCAATGAATCCATCGTCCCAAGTAAGCTCAATACCAAATTTGAGAAAATATTACTGCGATGGGTAGTGAGTGAATAATTATTCGAAACCGATAATTCACCCTGTGTCTCTGTTATAAGGACTATGAGACTTAGTAAGTTCTTTCCAATGATCATTTAACAAGAATATATCAAATAATCATAATTGAAAGTGGTTTCATAATTTTAATACTCTTCAAATTGACATACTTTTAGCTTTCTGTTTATGATTGTTACGATGAGAATTGGTGGCGGGAAAACAGAAAGCATCAAATCCAGTTCAGTTTTTTCTCCTCTTCACGATTCATTTGATGAACTCTGTCAATTATTACATACAGTGTGTTATTTTAATATTTCGAATAAATGTAAATTTTTTCTGAAGCCGAACCTGGATTTTCACTTCGCCCGATAGGTGAATGAATTCAACGTTCCAAGTATAAGCTCCATACCAAATTTTAGAAAAATATACTGGATAGTTCAATACTTATAGAGGAATGAATAATTATTCCAAATCGATAAATCGCCCTGTATCTCCGTTATGAAGACTCCAAGACCTATCAAATATGGTATTTTCAGAACTACCTTGGTGACCTCTATCTACCATTGAAATATTTCCCTTTACCTGTGAAACACCCTGTATATTGTATAATATAGTATGGTGTATAATGGTGTGTTCGTGAGGGTGTATGGGTGTGTGTGTATTATTATATTATTGCAAAACAAATCCACATCAATTGAAATCAGCAGTGTTTCATAAATTCAAAACGAATATATTTTCACATCTGTTTGATTCAAATCAATAACAACATTCAGACTTCCTATTATGTTCCCATTTGTGTATCAGTTATTATCATGTTATCATCCATATGTACTATTTTTTCACTTTTTCTAATTTCTTCCTTTGTTGTTCCTATATGTTGAATTGTAGAGGTATTTGAGGTTAAGTGGTAGAGCAAAATTCAGTGGACGGAGTCATCTAGAAACTGAGTTGAACTTTGCCCTTTGCTTCTGAAAATTATTATCCACCCATACTTTATACAGGGTGTTTCATAATTGAATGCTGATCCTAAAGGGCGATAATCCTTGGATGATTTTAAGAAAAATTCTTCATGTGAACATAGATCCGTAACAGCTCCGTTTCTGTGATACAGGATGTTGAAATTTAACAAAAAAATCAGTTATTCCCCAATATCTCTGAAACCGCTCTAGCTTTTTCTCTCAATTTTGGTAAATGCCAAGTATGCATAGAAATACATTTTTTCCATAATAAAGAATTTCTTAATTTCCATCAGTGGCGTCCCTGTTAACATACCCTGTCATATTTTTCATCAAAATAATGATACGCCACTGTCTTTTTTTCCAAATAAATATCATTTTTGTAATTATCCTCTATATTCTCATAAAAATGGTCTCTTGTCTTTTTCTCGTCCGGCGAACGGTTTTTGAGTTAGAAAATAAAATGCATTCATTTGCTTGTCCCTATTCGATTTTTACTCTTAGTCCTAATTTCACAATTGTGGTGGTAACCAAAAGATCTAAGCAATATTTTTATAATTTTATGGTAACTATTTTTAAGTTTTTGTATGCATACTTGGCATGTACCAAAATTGAAGAAAAAAGCCAGAGCGGTTTCAGAGATATTGGGGAATAACTGATTTTTTTGTTAAATTTCAACATCCCGTAAAATCATCCAAGGATTATCGCCCTTTAGGATCAGCATTCAAATATGAAACACCCTGTATATTATTTTCTATTCAGAAGTAATAAAGACGTATTATTATACAGGGTCATTAGTTTTCCCGGTAACGATATTTGCTTTGATTTTTTGAATGAAACACCCTATATATTTTTTTACATTTCGATAGAGCCTTCTCTCCTTATTTCAAAAATGTGAATAAGTTGCATATTTGGATGGAAAATTGTTGAGTTATCAATGATCAAAGTTCATCAATATACCGCATCATCCATTCAAACTGTAACTTTTTTTTCGAAAGATTTCAATTTCATCAAGAAGCGGCGGTATTATGGTAAACTTTGATCAATAACTAAACTATTTTTCATTCATACATGCAAGTCATCCATATTTTTGGAATCGGAAAAAAAGATTCTATTGACATTTCAAGAATTATATAGGGTGTTCCATTGAAAAAAAAAACAAAGTTAATGTCCTTTCCTGGAAAACGAATGACCCTGTAATCTGTAGATAAAATAACTACAAAAAATAAAAGTTTCGGTCGTTTCGAACAACTTCTTCAATTACCTTTTTTCCAACAAAACAAAAGTTAAGAGTTGGCTCAATTTTAATAGGCGCACCCTGTACAGTATATTTTTGCAATGAATTGTAGGCTTTGTAGGAATGGTGTTACGTCAATGGTGTTACCAGACATCACTATTTATATCAGACATGCTGAACTAACTCTTTTATGAGTATTGGTAATAATCTGAAAGTTTTCAAAAAATCTGGGTTTCTCTTGGGTCTTCACAAAAAAAAAAGATAACAAGGTATTCATAACAAGAAATTATTTCTGCACCTAGAAAAAATCTGGAGAGTCTGGGTAATTATTATTCAATGAAATGCTCTGTATATTAGCATTTCTACCTCTATCGTATCAATGACTATATATCTAGATCATATCGAAATTATTTTTTTTTGTCGAAATAATTCATCTGAAGATGCATAGAGGAATTAATCATAATGTCAATTGATGATAGAAAAATGCGTGATATTTCTGAAAATTTCCATGTCCTCACATTATACAGGGTGGCTGTACAATCGCCTGCACTGTCGCCCCACCCTGTATATTTTTCCTTAATATTGGAACATACAAATTTTTCGCTTCGAAAACTAGTGTTATGATTGCAGGGATATATCGTATTTTCATAAATCTTTTCCAAAAGTTGGACAAGTAAAATGGATCCCTGTGGTACTCTGCCCATCGAGCAATTATTGTTGCCATAATAGTGATTTCCATTCTTTTATTCCCTACAATTCTGAAAGCGAACAAATATCGTGTCGAGTATAGCATTATGTCATGATGTAAACGCGGTTATTCGTGATTGAAAAGCAGACAATTCAGGTCACGAGTTTATTGTCCTATTAAAAAATGTCAGCTATGCGGATTCCATTCTGAATAATACAGGATTTAACGCTACATTTCAACCCCACATGAAATCAATCGCAAAAGTTGGTTTACAGAAACAATCAAAATGATCTACAAAGCTCATAATAAACACTGACTGTCGTAGAATATGATTCTTACACAAAATGGGGTTCAGCACTCAAACATATATACATTCGAGTTATTTGCCTGGGTGGTGATGCCACACTCACAAAGTTCTATGTTTTTTTCGGACCATCAGTGATAAGTTCTGATTGTTTAGTAGTAAAATGCTAATTCTCGTTTTTCTTCTTGTTTTCAGATCGTTCATTCTTAGTGGCGAACAGCCGCGAAGGACAATGCCACATCATTTATTGCTCGGACGGCTTTTGCCGCTTGACCGGCTATTCCAGGGCCGACGTGATGCAGAGGCACGCCTCCTGCGAATTCCTCTGCGGGCCACTCACGTCCCAGCAGGCCGTCGCCAGTTTGAGGGACGCTCTGCACGACGCCGTCGAAAAGCATGCAGAGATACTTTACTATCGAAAAGACGGTTAGTACCGAATTACACCAGATGGTGTGAAATTTACACCTCGTGGTGTAAAATCGACACGGCATGGTGTTGAATCGACACCATATGATTACGTCGTATAATGCGTGGTACGAAACATATGGTTTGAAGTGAACATCGTATGATGTTTAATGTACAGTATATCATGTGAATGTAGATCAAATATTGTGAAATAATTCCAGCAGACAGTGTTGGAATTCAACCAAAAAGTGTAAAATATTCACATAACAGCGGAATATACACTGTATAGTATGAAATGTGCACTCTAACAGTGAGATTCATTCTGTATGGTGTTAACAATGAAATCTTGATCGTATAGTGTCTGATACTCTGAATCTACACCATTCAGTGTGTTCGTGGTGTCTGAAATATACAGCAAGAGTGAAATGTACACTGGCCAATGTGAGATGTCACCAAACAGTGTAGAATGTATGTTGTACACTCGTTTTGAAAATCTGATTCTTGAGCTCACTATTATTCTGAAACATCACATCGTCCACGAAAATTTTGTTTTATGACCCAAAACGGTGTAGTGTTAGTGGTTTTATTTGACACCAAATAAGTAACATCCAACAGATACATACTTACTCATTTATTTAGTCATATTCTTCAAAAATATTTGTATAGAAGACATAATACCAATAAAACCATTGTTTATCGAAAGCTCGTGGAATGAACAATATAAATCGAGTTTAAAGTGTTTATTTTAATCTCGAATTTGTATATAAACAAAGGTGCAATACAGATTCTACTAACTCAATAATATCTACATTTTCAGACGATCAGTCGTTTCATACAGTTTATTCCAGTTCTTGATTAAATTTCCATATTGAAATGCAATATTCTCAGATATATTATGAACATGAAAAAAATGGATAGGTATATATTAAGAAATACATTGAGAATTCGCATTCCTTTCTCGGCAATTCAACAGAAAACAACTACTTTCCTCGCTGTTTGCCTTGTCGAACATTGAATTACATCTGTTGAACACCCACTATAATGATATGAAAATTGAAATTTTCTGGAATTGAGAATTGACATTCTCTTCCAAATCGAATATATAATATTATGTTGAATTATATGGGAATATAAATAAAGATCATGTATATTCAGTATTGAAATGAAAATCAAATTGTATAGGACTAAGAGAAGTATACTTGAACAAAATCTGATCTAGATGAGCTTCAAGTTTCCAAAAATCATACGTAATATTGATGTAGGATACACATCTGTCAATAACAGGTTATATGACTTTATCCGAATGAACTCATTTCGGGTATCAAACCATCCAGGTCCAGAGGTCCAGTTATTCTCTCAGCCATTTTTCATGAAAATCACAATTTTCATCTCTATAGTATAACTAATACTACAACAAAATCAAATCTGAGAATTGTTGTTGACATTACTCATATCATCTGGATGGCTTTTGTTTATAGTGTATATAATGAATTGAAATCCATCGTACACTATAAATAAATTTGTATACTAGAAATTTCTATGGTTATGACCCACTTAGAAATATGGTAGGTACTTTAAAAGTACATTTCATGTTCCTACATCCGTTTCTTCAATGTTCTATCTGTTTGACCTACATAGAACAGATACCTGGTTTTTTAAATTTAGAAGAAGCTATTTCTCATATACTCTCGAGTTCTATTCCTTTGAACATAACTCATCGATCACTATCCGCTATATCCTTCTATGTCCAAGAACAAATGACTAATTATTATTCCAGTCGTTTTCGGTGAATCTAGATATGCGGAATCCAGGAATGTCTATATAGTTTTATCTTAATAGTATTTAGGCACGCAATATACGAGGTGCCCCACTTTTCATTCTGAAATTATATAATCTTTGTCACTACTACCAACTCCATCTGGCCAGTCTCACACTCAAAAATGATATGAGATCCTGTTTCCTCCATTCAAATGAGGAGTCATTGATCTGTTTTAGTATAGTTCCCAACTAGAGCTGGACTATATAGCATGACCACCAGCCACTAGATGCCATATATTCTGTCAGAGAACAAAAACTCAAACCACTGATCAATGAAACAATTGAATCACATACTGTAGAGGAAGAGAAATTGTCGGAAGCTGGTATTCATGGAGCCAAGCCACAGACAAGAATTTCACTGAGCTGAGGTAGATATGCAACGGTGTTTCAGGAAAAAATTGTCGCAATATATCATTGCGTGAAAGAATTGATGAGGCAAGAGTATGAGGGGAAAACCATTGTAATCTCCTCGGATAGCCAGGTGGCAACCAAAGCAGTCAACTCAATGCAATTTGAATCAAAATTAGTCTGGGACTGTTTATAAACCCTGAATGAACTGGCAGTCAAAACAGACTGACTCTACCAATATGGTACCAGCACTAACAAGGTACGAGGGCAACGAAGAGGCAGACTCACTTGCCCGAGCAGGAGCTAATAAAGCTCTGAATGGTCCAGAACCATTTTGTGATATTGCGAAAGCTATACAAACGACAAATATAAAATCATGGATGCGAAACAAATCACAAGAATGGTGGTACAACTCCACAGGAATGAGACAAGAAAAGAAGTTAAGTAAAAAATCATCGCCATTATCCACACAATATCTACTGAGCCAGAAACGAAGTTCAACTAGAATACTAGTGGGACTTCTCACAGGGCATTGTAGGCTCAACAAACACATGAGTACGATAAGTTTGACTTAAGAACTGCTGTGCAGGCTCTGCCAGGAAGAGGAGGAAACAGCAGTACACATACTTTGCCACTGTGAGGGCTTGTCAAGACTAACGTTCCTTACGCTGGGTGAGGAAAAATCAAAGGCCCAAAGATACACAGGGGATCTGGAAGCTAGCCTATGGAGTCTTATAGAGGAGGCAAGGCTAGCCAAAGAATTCCAACCAATGTGAGAGCAGACACAATAATAAATGAATCTAATCTGATCTAAATGCCTGATAAAGCAATTGCCAGGCGGCAATTAGAGTAGTCAACTCAATATGCAATAGTTTGGGACTGCCTATAAACCCTGAATGAACTATGGGCAGTCGAAATAGACTGACTCTAGCATGGGTACCAGCACTAACAGGGTACGAGGGCAACGTAGAAGCAACGTAGAAGCAGAAGCGAGTAAAGCTCTGAATGGTCCAGAACCAATTTGTGGTATTGCGAAAGTTATACAAACGACAAGTATGAAATATCATCGCCAACATTTACACAATATCTACTGAGCCAGAAACGAAGTTCAACTAGAATACTAGTGAGACTTCTCACAGGGCATTGTAGGCTCAACAAACACATGAGTACGATAGGTTTGACTGATGAACTGTTATGCAGGTTTCGTCAGGAAGAGGAGGAAACAGCAACACATATACTTTGCCACTGTGAGGGCTTGTCAAGACTGAGGTGCCTTACGCTAGGAGAGGAAAAATCGAAAGCATAAAGATACACAGGGAATCTAGAAGCTAGCCTATGGAGTCTTATATTACAATATAGAGGTGGAGCTAGCCAACAATTCTAAACGATTTTGAGGGCAGACACAATAGATCTGATAAGGTTGCGGTGTTTGGCAAATAAGCCGAAGGCCCCATTCTAATTCTATTCTAATCTAATTGTAGAGAGTCTTCGCTACATTGGGATGTACATACTTGAGGCCTCAGTAATAATAATATCGGTAGTTTTTCACGGTTCAATATAGGTTAATCGGTTACATTGTGATAATTGTGGATATTCGAATTAGAACCACAGGATGTTCCGAAATCCAACCACATACATCGCAATTATTCACTTCGCACATAATTCCTAAAAATATAGCCTTTATGACCTCTTTACAAAAATACAACACATGCACATAGGTAAACAATAAACTGCGACCGATGCGTGGGCAGGCAAATAAATCTTACTAATTCGTTCTAAAACAAGCAAAAAATTCAAATTATGGTCCATATATTATCCAAGTATCGATCATTATTTATTAAATAGTCGGAGATAAAAATATCTGAATTTCAGCCAGTGCAATAAGAATACTGTTCTCACTATGGGGTTATTCAGCACCCAAATATACGCTGATGTTCTCCGATTCCATCCAGATACGATTGGTTACACCCTGTCTATGCGTTCTTTCTCTGAATCAAAACTCATTGATATGATTGTTGGATAGGTAAATGAATAACTTCCCAAAAGAGGGGTCACATGACCCAGATTTCTATTCAGTAGTAAGAGTATAACTATATATCAGTACTTCAAAATATTCGGTTTGTATATCACTAAGAAGTTTAAATAATCCGATCGTGAAGCGGGAGGATTATTCTGTTAAACTGACACGATTTGTAATTGTGCAGGAAGTTTGAGATGTATGACCTCGAATATTTTGAAGTTCGAATTGTATTCGATGTGATTATCTATTGAGTAGTTCTGAATGAACCTCAAAGTTAGACGACGCGCTTTGTTTGTAGGTAACAATATGAAGTGGTTACTATGGGAATTGAAATAATTCGAAATTTCTGATTGGTGGAACTACTCTATGTATAGAGCAGGAAGAAAATCTCACAGTCAAGTCCACCAAAACTATAGATTTATTTATCATTGGACATGTTTCGAAGCTTCAAAGCTTCATCATCAGCAAAAATTATTTGTTACAGGAAGTACTACAAACAATCCTCACCTGTTCCACATGATGAAAAATCAAGAATGTGATTCTAATCATAAAAAATTGTGTTGATAATGAAAGTGAACGGCCGCAATTGAATGCAGATCACCTTTGTCAAAATATTAATATCTTCATTATTCCAAAGTTTTTGGGATTTTTTCTCCTCGTTTCTATAAAATAAAAATATGAATATTATTTCAATATACGTGTAGTAAGGACAAATCAGATGATTTGCCCCAAAATGTCATTGCGTTTGAAGAATTTTCCTATCAGAGAGCCCAAAAGAAAAATTCACTAGCTTGTCAGTGAAAATTTGTATGGAAAAAAGTTTGGAGAAGAGAAA